CATGAATTTCTTTTAGACAATGATGTTCTGGCACTTTGTGTTTCACATGACTATGTAATGGTATATTTTTGAAACAATAGTAGTGTGTTATATATACATCAAAGAGTATCACATACAGTTTATTTTTTGATCAAGAGGCTTGAGTGTAATGGTATGCCGTTGTGTATCTTCTATTTTTAATAGATGGATTTCTTGTCGGTGCACACTGAATATAACTGTGTTATCTCCTCAAATTTTGAAAACGAGCTAAGGAGGATACAGGTACAGTAAAAACATGAAGAAAAAAATTCCTAGCTTTTCAGATTTTGCATTACTGTTAAACTGCTGCATCTGCATATTCTGTAACACTGTAGATGTCCATTGGGAACTTGCCTATCCTGCTGTACAAGATGACTGCTCATGACTGTTCCCAGAGTAATTATCAGGTTCTTGGAAATTTTTTAAATGGTAAATACAATTATATTTTATGCTGTTATTTTCCATTAAATTACCAATGAATATGAAGAGCTATACAACTAAATTTGTATTCACAGATATATAGCATATAATCTCAAAAAGTTAATTCTGTTCATCTGGATGTAGAGTTTTCAGTTGGAGTAACGTTTCATCACTCATCCAAGTGACTTCTTCAGTCTTAACTGCATGCAGGTTTCCCCAACCTTATAAAGAGTACATTTGCATACTGACTGAAACTAGCACCGGTGACTAAAAGTGGACCGTGAGGTTTCCTAGCCCCATGAGCTTTCATAAATATGACAGTGGTTTGCCATAAAAACTTTTGCATCTGACTGGAGGTAGATGAAGTGCATTACACTTAAACCAGAAGGTGAAGTTAATATCGTATAATATGTGGAACTGTTAAGAGATATTAACACCAAAACAATGACCAGCGCCACTGAAACCAGTGCTCACACTGGTAATCATGGAAAAATAAAAAAAATATTATGTCAAATAAAAAAATCCTCTGGTATTTACTGAAGAAAAAACACATTAATATAACATTAGGCAACACTGTAAAAATTGACAATACTGCTCTCATAAAAGTGGAAGAGTTATCAAGTGAAAGTGATGAGTGTCATGTCATCATATTATGAGCCAGTAAAGTGCTAATAGAAAATGTTGGAGCACAGTCAATGCTTTCTGCATAACTGTTATGACAGATGCATTGTACCAAGAATATTGGGTTAAATGAAGAAAGTGTTTGCACTGTAGATTTTAGTTGACTAAAATTTATTTTGGTAACCAAAGTATTAGCAAATATAAGCAAATATTATGACCCATTTTATTAGGATACACCATCCTAATCTGATATTACATAATGTATTATAACATTACATTCTATACTATTAAATTCTGCATTTTGTCCTCAATTGAGCTGCCAAATGTACAAATAGGGCGGGTAAAATAAGTATTGAACACATTACCAAGTGTGTTTCTAAGTAAATATATTTCTAAAGGTGTTGTTAACATGACATTCTCACCAGACGTCTGTAGCAACCCATCCAAAGGGAATGCATTTTTTATTTCTTTATACTTACTGTTTTATAACTGACAAGACATAACTGTTTCTTGA